ATTATTAGTTTTAAACAACAACAAAAAAAAGCTGTCATATATTGTATTTGAAACATGCAATAATACACAAGGTAAATAATTGAAATAACATAGAAATATTAGTAAATTACAAGTAATACTCTCTCTCTAGCAACTGGTTTAGAGGTATGAACAGTAAAGGGAAAGAAATTTGAAAACTCTTTAAAGAGTAGTGTTAATACCCTTAAATTGATTGTGGTTTTGTTTGCGGAATAGGGAACACAATGCAAGAAAGGAATTTTGTTGAGGTGGGGGAGGAAAAAAGATGTGTTATTCCATTTGGGAAACTGTTTAGTTAAGTTTCCTGTGGAATGTTCAGAATGAGATTTCTATTTGATTAAATAATTCATTGGACCAAGAGCATATCTCTGAGTGCAAACAGATAGAAATTAGGGATTTATCATAATGTTAGTAATATGGAAATAAGAGACAAACCAGAAAATGTGAATAGAGTAAGAAGAGTTGGAAACCAACTTTTAAAGACTCACTTCTAAGATTAGAGGGTGGGCAAAGGAAGAGTATCCTGTGATGAAAACTGAGAAGGAATTACTATGATTAGAGTTGAAGGGAACCAGATTATAATTCGAGTTGAAGGAAAGAGATGTCAAAAGAAGACAAGTTTTAAGGAGGAACTCCTGCTATACAGTACCGAAAGAGAAGGTAAGTAACAGAAAGACTGAAAGTCCCCATTGTATTTGATACATCTGTGATGAGGGGAGATAGATGTTTGGTAGAGAATATTAATGCTGAGTGAAATGCAGGGGCCAGTGGAGGCCTAGTGGCACAGTCAGAGGTTCAAATCCACCAGTCTCTCCAGGAGAAAGACGAAGCAGTCAACTCCCATAAAGATGACAGTCTTGGAAACCCTCAGGGGCAAGTTCTACTCTATCCTATAGGGTCATTGTGAGTTAGAATCAACTCAACAGCAGTAGATTTGATTTGGTTTAGTTTTTACCCAAAATAGCACAAAAATGTTAATGTCCTGTTTCCTGTGTATGTTGTTTTGTGCCATCGAGTTAGATCCAGCCCATAGCGACCCCATACAGGGTTTCCAAGGAGAAACTGGTGAGTTCAAACAGCTTTGTAGTTTGGCGCATTAACCCACAGCGCCACACCAGGAATCCCTGCCTACAGACCTCTAAAACGCTACTATGAGGTGAAGAATGAGGAAGCAGAGGCAGCAAATAGAAAACATTATTTCAAGGACATGTTTTCAAATCGTCAATAATTTAGATGAAAAGTAGGATACAGAATTATGTAAATTTGGTGAATGTTGAGAGTCACAAAAAAACTAATTTCATATATTTAAAAGAGAAAACAAGGAGAAGAGTGACAAACTGATGTCCCAGAGAAAAACATTAAATGGCCTGAAGAAAGGACTAGCCTGAAGCAGAACAAGGGACTCCAGGAATAACAAGAGAGGGTTGTTGTTGTTGTTAAGTGCCTTAGAGTCGGTTCCAACCCAGAGCTACCCTGAACAGAGTTTCTGAGACTGTAAATCTTTACGGGAGCAGAAAGTCTCATTTTTCTCCTGCGGAACTCCTGGTATTTTTGAACTGCTGACCTTGAAATTAGCAGCCCGATTCATAACTACTATGCTACAAGAGACCTTACTCATAGTAACCCTGTATAGGATTTCCAAGGAGGAACTGGTGGGTATGAACTGCCGACCTTGTGGCTCAAACTGACCTTTTTCCCCACATGAGGGACCACACCTTGTTCTTTGTTCCTCTCCCTTATCTTATCAGCCTTTTGTTCCCAAATTGTATCTACTAACATTAAATTTTCTGAACAACAAACTTTACGTAACAACCCTTTAGGACAGAGTACAATTGTCCACAGGCTTCCCAAGGCTGCCCTGGTGTGGTGCTAGGGGACAAAGCACTGGATGGCAAGGTTGGTTTGATTACAAGTTTCCACTCCTTGGAAACTCTATACAGGGTCACTCTGAGCTGGAACCGGCTTGATGGAAATAAACAACACCACAATGAGTCAGAATGGACTTGGTGGCACTTAATAGCAACAGCAGTCTTTTGGAGGAGTCCTGGTGTAGCTCTGTAGGATAAGCATTGGACCACAAGGTTGACTTGAGCTACAAGGTTGGCAATTCAAATTCCCTAGCTGCTACCCTATATATCGTTATGAGTCAAACCAACTCAATGGCACTTAACAACAACAATCTTTTTTTTTTTTTTTTAAGAAAACTTTTTATTGGCCTTTTGGATAGAAATGGAAATTATTTTCCAGGAAGGATGATCCCATCATACTTCTGTTGGAACCAGTACATAGTCCCCTCTTTGCTGATTCTACGTTTGTCCCCCATGAAGCCTGTCCCATGCTTCTAGTCTGCTATGCTGAAACCTATGCTCCAACCCAGTACCACATAGAAGACCAGGCCATAGATACCAATGCTAGGGTTGTATTTGACCCCTAGATCAACGTGCTTCTAGAGCCCAAAACCGAAGTATCCGGTATCTAAGAAGTTATTTTTTTCTTAAACTGTACTCCCGTACCTTCAGACCTATCTCCAAGATCGCCTCTGCCTTGGCCCCATGGACTGCGCAGTGGACAGCAATGTTTTCATTTTGCCTAATGCCAAAGGACTTGAGGGGTATCTAGCTTTGAAGAACACAGGGGTCTAGCTGGTAAGCTGCTCCAACACCTTGGCTTCCGAAGTTAGTCTGTCTCCATTCTTCCTCACTCAGATATGAGGTTTCCACATGGGGTTCTCTTTTTCATCTTGATCCTGCACCAGCCAAGGCAGAGAACCAACAACAGCAATTTTTTTAATGGAAACAGACTGTCACATCTTTCTCCTGAGGAGAGGCTGGTGGGTTTGAACCATTGAATTTTCAATTAGCAGGCGAATGCTTAGTCATTGAACCACCAGGGCAAAGGAGGAACATTTTAGGGTTTGAACTATATATACCAATTGCTATCTAGCTGATTTTGACTCTCAAAGACTCTGTGTGTGTCAGAATAGAACTGTGTTCCATAGAGTTTTCCATGCTTATGATTTGTGGAAAGTAGATTGCCAGGTATTTCTCCTAAGGTACTTTTGAGTGGACTGAACCACCAACCTTTCTGTTAACAGCTAAGCACTGTTAATTACTGAAACGCACATGTAAACAAAAACCAGCTGTCATTGCCTTGATTCTTCTCATGGTGACCCCAGGTGTGTCAAAGTAGGACTGTGCAACAAAGACTTTTCAATGGCTTTTGGAAATAAATTGCCAGGTCTTTCTTCTGAGGCAACTCTGAGTGGACTTGAAACAAGAACCTTCCTGTTAGCATCTGAGCATTAAACATATGCACATAACAGGGACTGCTACCACACCTTAAAACAGGCCAGTATATGTCTGCTGAATTGATGATACATGAATGAGTTGGGTAGGGAGAAAGTAAAGCGAAATAAGATCCACAAGTGAAAGTACAGAGTGCCCAGTGATAATAGTAAAAAATTATTCTCCTGTTTCTCAAATCATGTGTTTTTTTATAGCTTTGGTTTCCTTCACTGAAAAATATGCAGTGAAGCAAATGTATCAAGAAGACCTGCTTCAGTGATGGGGTGCAAAAAAACATTTATATGAATGGCATAGGAATAAGCTGCATCTATTTGTGGCACTGGACTGCAAGATTGGCTGTTGAAGCTCACCCGTCACTCCTCAGAAACCCTATACAGGGTCGCTATGAGTTGGAACCAGAGCACTGTGACTCTGTAGTATAAGCACTGGATTTCAAACGATAAGTTCTGCGGTTCGAGCCCACCAGCCATCCTGCTGGAGAAAGATGAGACTTTTTGTTTTCACAAAGACTTTGTTGTTGTTGTTAGATGCCATCGAGTTGGTACTGATTCATAGCGACCCTATGCACAACAGAACAAAACACTGCCCGGTCCTGGGCCAACCTCACAATTGTTGCCACTCTTGAGCCCATTGATACTGCCAATTGGCCAATCCATCTCGCTGGGGGTCTTCCTCTTTTTCTCTGAACCTCCACCTTACCAAACATGATATCCTTCTCCAGTGACTGGTCCCTCCTGACAATATGTCCAAAGTATGAGAGACGAAGCTTAGCCATCCTGGCCTCCAAGGAGCACTCTGGCTGCACTTCTTCCAACACAGATCTGTTGGTTCTTTTGGCAGCCCATGGCACTTTCAGTATTCTCCTCCAACACCATAACTCAAAGGCATCAATTCTTCCTTATTCAGTGTCCAGCTTTTGCATGCATATTTATAAGGATTTCAGTGACAAAATACTCGGAAGTAGTTCCTCACTCCTTCTTCCTAATTTGTCTTCGTCTAGCCGTTCATCTGAAATCTGTCCACCAAGCCTCAGAAATCCTAGATAGGATCCATAGGAGTCTGACTCCCCAACAATTGTTGTTAAGTGCCGTCGAGTCGGTTCCGACTCATAGCGACCCTGTATAGAGTTTCTGAGGAGCAGCTGGTGAGTTTGAACCGCCGACCTGCTGTTCAAACCAACCTTGCAATCCAGCGCCTTACTTACTTCACTTGTGATATACAATCATTATATACAGTTCAAACCTTAAAACGTACCCCCTGTGTAAGAAAATGTATTGTTCATGTAATTGAATGTCAACAGTTATTCACTGAGGCGAAGATGGGGCGGGAAAGAGCCATTTAAAATGGAGATTATTTTACCTTTTTTTGCACAAGTTTGCCTTCTTCCCCCTCCCTCACTTCATTTTCACCTCTTTTAGTTTTCTATGGGCTCCTCTTTCGCTTCTCCTTCCTTCTCCGTGGCCCCGCACCCTCCCTCCCAGCACGCTGGTCAGCTCCTCTTGTGGGCGCGCAGGCTCAGCCCCGCCCACTCAGAGGCCGAGTCACGAGTCCGGGATCCAAGGGCCTCGAAGTAGGCGGGACGAGGTGGGGATTCCGCAGCACGCATGGGCGGAGCCGGGTGCGCGGGCCGCCCCTGCTATATCTGCGCCTGCGCGAAGCGACTGCGGGGCCAGTCGGGACGGAGGAGACAAGATGGCGCTGCGGGCGATGCGGGGGATCGTGAACGGGGCCGCACCCGAGCTACCGGTGCTCACCAGTGGGCCTGCGGTGGGAGCTCGGGAACAGGCGCTGGCAGTTAGCCGGAACTACCTCTTCCAGCCTCGCCTCAGTGAGTATTAGAGAGCAAGATGAATGCTATGTGCTACTTAACCCTGGCTGCGCTGCTCTTTTCTCTCACTCACCTGCTTGGCCCGCGGTTGCGGGGGAAACGGGGTGTATTTCTTTTAACCCTTCGGCGTTCCCCTGCTCCCGGATCACATATGCCTCTTTCTAGAAAGAGGTTTGCGTGCACTCATTTCCGAGACAGAGGAGCCTAGGGCAAGAGTACCAACGGGACTTTTTCCTTGGGTGGTGGGTCCCCAGCTATTGCCCCACCGTCTCCAACTTCCCTAAGCTGGAGCATTGACAAGCACTAGCGCTTGCTTCCTGTATCGGAGGGCCACTGCTTGTCACGCCAGTCTTTATCTTCCTTTGACCTCATCTGGGTTATTTAGGGGTTGGGGGAACGCCCCTTCCTCATGCCCTCCCCCTGGTGAAGAACTCGGAGCCTGGTGTGAGGGTCCTGGAGAGCGAGGACTGTGTAGTGCTTTCGCTGACGTGGTCAGGCCTTTCGTGGATGGGTGTCAGGCCCGCAGCCAGAGAGCTGTGGCTGCTTCACAGAAGGATACCTAGATATCAGACAGCAGTGCAACTGAAAAGTACACTGCAGGTCATCTAATCCAATACTCTCATTTTACAGGTGAGAAGTCTAAGGTTCTGGGAGGGGTAGAACTTACCAGGTTTTAGACACCTAATAGTGACAGAGCAAGAACTGAAAATTCAGGTTTCTTAATTCCTGGTGGGCCTTTTTCTTCGTTTACTGATCACTTAACCAGACTAAGTTAGAATGCAAGATTATCTTGCAAACTCTAAGTGGCTTTGTCCATTTTATGTATGTATGTGTATAAATAATGCATGTTAAGTGCTGTTGTTGTATATAAAATAGCCCTAATATACCAGGTTTAAATGAACAAATCAGCAGTCAAAACGAAATGGTTCTTGATTATTTGAAGAATACAGTGTGTAGCATCAAACCTCTTCATAACTTTCTTGGAACCTGAGGAGAAGCCCTGGAAATAGATGCTATTTAAAAAAAAAAAAGTGCCTGATACTCTTTCCCCAGGTGATGATACTGCATTTGCACTGGTTAATTGCCCAAGTGCCTGCTTGTGGATAGCTTATTGGTTAAACCGAATTTCAGATGAGGTTTTAGTCAGAGTGCTCACCATACTGACTAATCCTATCATGAGCTGTCACTGGGTCATGTGATGCAGCTGCTGTGTGAGGAGGAAGGAAAGCACACTGGATTCCATGGGTTGCTGAAATGTACGTTTTACACTGAGAATGACTTGTATTAGAGATTGCCTGTTGGTATTTATATGACCAGAAGTAAATGGTTCAGGAAATTGAAGATGTTGCATTATTTCATAGATTTTGGCAATAATGATAGTTAAGAATTAAAAATTATTTTTTATAAGTTGTATTTGTTTACTCTGCTTTGTGTAGGATGGATAAATATTAATAATGCTTGTAGGAAAAGATTACAGCGCCCAGTAGTCCGTTTCCTAAATCCATTCATTGTCACTTCAGTCTGGATTTGTTTGCTTAACCTATGGCCAAAGAACTTGTCCTGATGAGATTCTTCCCAGGAAAACTGCTGGCAGAATAATGCTTAAAATGGAATTCTTATAGGTCAGGAATTCTTTTTTTATTCCTTAGTGCCTGCCACATAAAAGGTATATGAAATTGTTGTATAACTTGTATTTAAATTCCTTGTTCTAATAGTTGAAAGGATAGATTCTTAACAAGAATGAAATGAATAAGTAGTTGAGTTGCTGGTTGGTTTGAGTTCCCTTTCTGTACTAGATATTCTGAAGAACATAAAAAATGATAGACTTAGGCTAATATAATTAATGATAACCTCTTATTGTTGTTGTTAAGTGCCGTCGAGTCGGTTCTGACCCGTAGCGACCCTGTATAGGATTTCCAAGGAGTGACTGGTGAGCATGAACTGCCGACCTCGCAATTCAAACGGCTTTGCAGTCTGGCGCATTAACTCACAACCTCACACCAGGACTATAATAGTTACTTAGATGTATGCTTTTTGAATGAAAGAATGAAATAATAGTGGTAGTGTTGTTGTTGTGCTGTCGAATCAGTTGCGACCCTGTATAGGGTTTCTGAGGAGCCACTGGCGATCTTGAACCACTGACCTTGCAGTTCAAACGGCTTTGCAGTCTGGCTCATTAACCCACAGTGCCACACCAGGGCTCCAATATTGGTAGTGCCAGTGCCTCTCTACAAATTGGGCCCTATTTAAAAACAATTTTAGGATTATTGTGTTCTTTGTGGTGGTTCCATTTGACCCACAAGATCAACGGTTCAAACACACTAGCACCTTAAGTGCTGTAGTTAAATTTCTAAAGTCAAAAGGAAGGAAAACTTGATTTTCTTTTAAACCTTGAGCAAGGTTCAGTAATAATATACGTTGAGCTTTTGAACTCTAAACATTCAAATTAGATTGCCGCCACTGTTCTTGAGATCCTAGACCTTAAGTTTCATTCATCATAAAAACTGTAGCTAGCCCCAGCAAAAAGTCAAAGTAGGAATCCTTGCCTTTTTCTAGAACTTCTCTTTCCTTGGGTACTCATTGATCAGGGTATGTTATTATTGTTAAGTGCCCTCAAGTTGGTTCCAACTCATAGTGACCCTGTGTAGGATTTCTGAGGAACGACTTGTGGGTTTGAATTGCCAACCTTGTGGTTCAAACTGACCTTGTGGTCCAGTACTTATCCTACAGTGCCACACCAGGACTCTGATCAGGTTGTTCTTAAGTGTTGTTGAGTCAGTTTTGAAACATAGCAACCCTGTATAATGTTTCCAAGGCTTTAAAGATGAGAAACCTTCATCTTTTTCCCAAGGAGTGGCTGCTAAGCTTGAACCTGTGGTTCACAGTCCTGTACTTATTGTATGGAGCCACCATGTTCTGACCAGTTTATGTTGTTAAGTACCGTCGAATTGATTCTGACCCATAGCAACCCTGTATAAGGTTTCCAAGGAGCAGCTGGTGAGCTTGAACCCCCAACCTTGCAGTTCAGACATGGCTTTGCAGTCTGGCTCATTAACCCACAGCGCCACACCAGGACTCCAGATATTATTCTTTCACAATCTAGGGTTTTGTTTTACTAATAAGGCGGAGGCAAAAACTACTAGGTCTCTTACTATTGTGTAATGCTGTTGAATTTTCTCTTTGAAAGTTTCACAATCACTGAGTGGTGTTAGTAGTATTGGACAATCTCATATCCTGCAGGGAGAAGAGGATGCCATCTGACAATATGTGTTTCTTAAAACCTTGATAGCTTTGGTTTTTAAATGTTACTACATAAATACGTGCTGCCTGCTTAATAGTTCCAAATCATAGATAGATGTGACCTCTTATCTGCTGTGTTGTCCTCAGAAGTTCTTATCATCCCATGGATCTGTTTTCTTGTTCACTTGGAAATTTCCAAGAGAAGAGTGGTCATTATTTTGGTAAATAGAAATATTTATGGAATTCTTAAATGGGTTTTTGTCTGTTATAGAGTCGGCTTCATGTTTTTGACAGCCTTACTCTAAACTGATATTCATCTCAGTAGAACATTCTAGATAACTGAAGCCCTAACAAAGTGGGAACAACTTCTATTTTTGGAGTAAAAACCTTCTCAGCTATTTAATCCTTCTCAGGTATTTTTGAACAGGTGCCCTGGTGTGGCGCTGTGGGCTAGTGCATCATACTGCAGTCATTTGAACTGCAAGGTCGGTGGTTCAAGCTCACTAGCTGCTCCTTGGAAGCCTGTACAGGGTTGCTATGGATCAGAATTGACTCCATGGCACTCAACAACAACAACTCTAAACTGATATCTCTGCTTTGGACTATTGTTGGTAATGACTGGAAAAATATTGTTGACAAAGTGTGGTATTTGATACCATTTCTTTGCAAACTCTTTTTACATAGAAAGAGCTATGTTGTTGTTAGGTGCCCTCAAGTCTGTTGTGACTCATAGCAGCCCTATGCACATTTGTTAAATGTTTGAACCCATTGTTTTTGCCTCTGTGCCAGTCCATCTCATTTGAGGTCTTCCTCTTTTTCTCTGACCCTCCATTTTACCAAATATGATGTACTTCTCCTTCTGATAACATGTCTAAAGTCTGAGAGACCAAGTCTTGGCTTCTAAGGAGCGTTTTGGCTGCACATCTTGCAAAACAGATTTATTTGTTCTTCTGGCAGTCCTTGGTACTTTTAATATTCTTCTCCAACACCATAATTCAAATGCACCAATTCTTCTATGGTCTTCTTTATTTGTTGTCTAACTCTAATATACATATGAAGTGATTGAAAATGCCATGACTTACTTTAGGCATACCTTAGTCCTCAAACTGATATCTTTGCTCTTGTGCAGCATATTTTCCTAATGCAATTTTCTTGATTTCTTTTTTTTTTTTTTTTCAGTCTTGATTTCTTGACTACTGCTTTCATGAGTGTTGATTGTGGATTCAAGCAAAATGAAGTCCTTTACAACTTTAATCTTTTCCCCATTTATCATGTTATTATTTATTCATCTAGTTGTGATGATTTTTTGTTTTTTTTTACATTGAGGTGCAATTCATACTGAAGTCTTTGGTCTTCATCAGTAAGTATTTTAAGTCCTCTTCACTTCCAGCAAGCAAGGTTGTATCATATTCATATCACAGGTTGTTAATGAGTCCTCCTCCAATCCTGTTGCCATGTTCTTTATATAATCCAGTTTCTCAGATTATTTGCTCAGCATACAGATTGAATAAGTATGGTGAAAGAATGCGACCTTGGCACACTCCTTTTCTTATTTTAGACCATTCACACTCCTTTTCTTATTTTAGAAATTGTTCTGTTTAGCTACTGCCTCTGATTCTATGTACAGGTTCCTCATGAACACAGTTAAGTTCCACAATGCCCATTCTTCACAATGTTGTCCATTTTCATGATCCCCACAGTCGAAAACGTTTGCATAGTTAATAGAACACAAGTAAAACATCTTTCTGGTATTCTCTGCT